CCCCAAAACCCCAAAACCCCTGGAAGCAGAATTATATTAAAAATTTCATATAACTTGATATTTTTGAAATTAATATTAATACTTCATTTTTTATTTTATGATTGTAGATGAAACTTAGGACTATAGTCTTAAGGCCCTGGTCTGAAATTTCCAAATAAACTCATCCTCTATTCTTTTGATTCCTCTTTTTTGAATGACCTACTCCTTGATCTACTCTAAGATTCAAATCCATTGTTAAGATTAGGGGATTTATTATTTCTTGATGACTAGCTTTTATTAAGATAGGGGTCATTGTCGAATCTCCGCTAATACCCAAACATTTTTTGCTCTTCATTTTTATTTGTACTTTTATTAGCAGCGATCTCACTATAAACTAGATTGTTGAAGAAATTTGTCTTTTCTTTTGCTGATAACTGTGTAAAGGAAGATTTCCTCTTAGGTTCTTCCATTATTGACTAGTTTACTGTAGATTATCTACCCATAACTACTGACTAATTAATGTGATTATTAAGTAGTTGATCTATATCATTGTTGCAACCTGATAGAAGACTCCTCCTCTACTCAAAAGTCTTCTTAGATATTTCTTAAATCATTGACATTTGTTAAAATTAAGTTTATTTTTATTATGTGACTTTTTCATTCTCAAGTTTTGATTTTAACTGTGAGTATCTCACCTCAGACTCTAGAATTGATTTGGGGTTTAATTCCCTATTTAAAATTACTTATTGGACTTAATGAGTCTCGAGTGATTATTTTTCTATTTTTTCAACCTTTTTTTGATGCAGAGACTAATAAGAAGACTAATCTTACTTATTTCTTTACTATGATCGATTTGAAGTTTATACTTAATGGCTTGAATAATTTTGTTGATAATTTTAAGGATATTTGCATTTCTCATGAGAACTTTCTCTTTTCTAATGAATTTATGCTTATTAATCTATAGATTAGTATAATTGCAGATTATTATCAATTTTTTTCAATGGAGAAAATGATTTTTGATTATCTTTCGAAGTTATGTCCTCTTTCGAATTGTAATACTTGCTGCTGCCTTCATATAACTCTTTCTGGAGTTTTAAATTTCTATGGATTTATTCCCTCACAGAAATTTTTTCTTTTTTGTCTTACAATTCTTGTTTTATAAATATGTCATGATAGATAATGAAGTTTTCCCAGATGTCCTCGACTAAAAAAAGTTAATTTTTTCTCAATAATTACTAATTAAACCGCAAGAGATTTTAAGATTCTCTTTAAATAGCCTTAATTATTCGTATACTTAAACATTACCCATATTTTGAGTTTTATTTTCAGATTGTCCACCTTATCTTGCCACTAATTATTAGTTTATAAAAGTATTTACATTCGATTATAGATTCTTGCTTCTATTCATATATTCTAAATATAAGTCTAGTTATCTCTTTTAGTTCATTATTTTGACTACTATTATTGATCAAACGCTGCTACTGCTGCATTTTAGTATCAATTTAAGCTAGTCTGTCAATTAAGATTGATTCAGTCATTATCTTAATTTTATAATGCAAGTTGATTATTAAACTTTAACAGACATTATTTATTAGAATAATAGTAATACAAAGTTGATAATTTAATCTGTATATTTATTCAATTGCAAAATGAATTCAAACAGCTAGCATTCAATCAATTAGCAGACTATCACAAGTTCAAATCTTTAAGATTCGCAACAGAATTACTAATCAAAGACCTCATAAATATATAACTACTTGGATTCTTTGACATCAGCAGAGAAAGATGATTTGATATGGAGATTACAACATACGTAAAAAGATGACACTATGGATTCACATGAACTTAGCATTAGTAGTAGAGATATTGTCAAAACTAAACTTTTCTCGCTCTAGCCTGTTCCAATTACCTAAAATGTCTCGCAATATCATGCTCAAAATAGACTCAATATGTCTTAGATGAATCAAGGTCCTGCTGATTTTGATTTTAGAGATTTAATGTTCAGAAATGATTAAGAAAGATCTTTTAATCTAAGAGATAGTTTGACAATGCAGCAAAACCCTCATCGTAATTCTCCTCCATAAATAGTTTAATCACGACAAAGAAAGAATAAAAGCGTATCATTAGTAGAAGAAAGACAAATAGGTGCAAATGCGAAAATATAATAGATAATTGAAACAAAGCAGAGACAGAGACAGAAAAGCAAAAATCACTAAGATCTCACAGAACTGTTGAGCTTCAACACAACAACATATAATAATATTCCTGAACAATAACAATTAGAAGAAGTTGCAGAGAGAGTGTTGAGTACTGATTACAATGGAGGCACTTTATAAACTCTATAAAGCAATAATGAAGCGCTCTAATAGAATTAACTGCATATATCACACATAAGGACTTTAGAGAACTCGAATGAATCACCTGTTTACAATGATATTGGATAACTAAGGCAAATTGAGTAGCATTACCAGAATCTTAGCAACTAAGAATTTAAGAGAAGATTAAGTGAAAGTAGAAGCAAAAGTAAAGCCAAAAGATTATCAGAAATTATGAATCCAAAATAAAGAGAGAAATTTGATGGAGTGAACAGAGATGGTAGTCAAGCTGCCATCAGAAGAAATACCAGCTAACAAAAGAATTTCTCATTCTCAGATATTAATGAAAATACACCATAAAAAGTTAAGGGATTATAAGAGTAATCTCCAAACGAAGAAGGCATCACAATAGATCATGTAACACTTTCAGAGAGCAATGAAGAGGAATCTAAGCATCATGATTAAAGCCAAAACTTCAATAAGTAAAAGTTAAATGAAAGCACTATCAATGATTTTCTTAAGATAAATGAGAGTTTTGATATCAATCTAGAATCACAGGATCAAAATAATTTTCATATAAAAAGTTTACAGAGCAATGGTTTTAAGCTTCACAAGAGAGATGCTGACTCTTAGTCATTTCTAAGAAGACTCAATAACTAAAGCACTTTAATCGATCAATCTTCTCTCCAGACATCAGGACTGAAATCGAATCCTTCAAATAATAAAATTCACACAAGAATCAGTTAATTTAAAGATGAGCTACAGAAGATTTTCCCGACTAACGGTGAGAGCACATTTTTGCTCAGTAGAACCTCCTCGTCAAACTTAAGATCATCTAATGCTCACCAAACTAGCCAAAACAGGCCTAAATCCTCGAATTCAAGGATCGGCTCAATATATTCCTTGTCTGGATTACAACAATCACATATAAAGCCTACTCAATTTGAAAATTCTTTTGAAATCCCAACTAGATAACCTGAAATTCTGAATCAATCTTAAATCCTCAATCCAAGTATTCAGAGTTACATAGTTCCAAGTAATTTAGGTACAAGTATGCTTCAATAATCCAACATTAAAAGCACTAATTTCAATCATAGTTTGATGATTAATCAATAACCAGATGCTTTGTTTGAGTTTGAAAGGAAAAATATGATGAATCAATTAATAGAATAGGAAAAAGCAAGATTAAAGCAGGAAAAAGACTTCACTCTTCATTAGTAGATACAAGAACTGCATCAAAAATACAAAGAAGAGTATACTAAGAATCTTGAATCAAAGTTAAATGAAATGAAATAAAAGTACAAATCAAAGTTAAAAGAAAAGGTTAATGAACTCGTTGAAATTGAAAAACAAAAATTCAACTCCATTGTTAATGCCTATGAAAAGAAAATCAAAGAAAAGTGGGAAATAAAGCAAGAGGAAATTAGATTGCAAGAATATCAGAAGTATGATGAATATGTATAAGCTGAGAGAAATGAACTTAAAAGATAATTAAAGGAATTAGAGCAGAGATATCTAGCATAGATTCAATCAATGAATCATGAACATTTGAAAAGTTCTAAAGAGAGAGAAGAAACTCTTGTCTAGCAATAAAAACACTAAATAATGAGCCTCAACAAGGAGATTGAAGAACTTAAAAAGCAGAGAGATATCTAGAGCTAATAGCTATCAGAAACAGTGCAAAAGAGCTAGCAGCAAGTATAGGAGAGAGTACAAAGGTTTATTAATGATGAATAAATGAGAATGACAGATTTGGAGAAGGAAAAGCAAAGATATAAAATATAGTGCGAAATTATGAAAAACTAGACTGATTCTTTAGCTCGAGACAATTAGAATCTTAAGGAACTTAATTAGAGCTTAAGCAACGCTCAAAGTAGACCTCAGTAAGATGGGGTTTGCAATCAATGTGGTGTTTTGCTACTTGCCAATGAAAAATTAATTGGAAGACTAAAGAAGTATGAGACTATGCTTCGATTTAAACATAGCAAAGCCAGACAAAGCCTGCTCGAAAGTTAGTAGGCTACATTGACACCAAACAAAGAGAATGTAAATTATAAGCAGAAATTCTTGAATTAAAAATGATTGACTATAAATACTATGATATGATAGATGAGGAATAATGATATTTACAATATTTTCCAAATTTTTAAAGCAGATTATTGCTTATGGGGTTTTGGGGTTTTGGGGTTTTGGGG